CGCCGTTGTCTCTTTGTAATCTCTGCTTACGCACCCACTGACTGTAGTTCGGATGAAGTGAAGGACGAGTTCTACCATAAACTGTCTAACCTCCTCTCGAAAGCCAAACGTTCGGACGTAGTGGTTGTTGCAGGTGACCTCAACGCACAGGTGGGTAGACTGAGTGAGGCAGAAAGGCACTTAGGTGGCACTTTCGGAATCCCAGCTGAACGTACAGATAACGGTGATCGCCTATTACAACTATGCTCAGATAACCGCCTATTTTTAGCCAGCACAAATTTCAGACATAAAGAAAGGCACTGTCTGACCTGGCGTCCACCGAGCTCGACTCAGCGATGGACACAGATAGACCACATTGCTATTAGTCATCGCTGGAGAGGATCGGTGGAAGACTGCCGCTCCTTCTGGAGTACGTGTTTGGACAGCGATCATGCGTTGGTCCGAGCACGTATATGCCTGCGTCTCAATGGACGTAGAAAAAATTTGGCAACAAAACCACTACGAGTTCTGCTGGACAACGAAAACACCAAAGCCGTGTTCAGTGAGAAGTTGGCTAGGCAGTTATCGGAACAAAAGACTGTCACTCATCCAGAAGAAGCTTGGTGCCATCTTCAGTCTACTGTAAAAGCAGCACTGGAGACTGTAGCCGACTCCAAGATAATGGCTAAAAAGAGCCAGTGGATATCAGCAGCTTCTTCCAAACTAATGGATGCACGTGAATGCATCCCTGCAGGCTCTGAGTACAATGAAGAGCGAGCGCAACTTAAAAATAACTGACGAAAAGTCTGCGCAACGATCGTGAACAGTGGTGGGCAGCAAAGGCTAAAGAGATGGAAAAGGCAGCGGCGATCGGTAACAGTAGACAGTTATTTAGACTTATTAAGGAGACTGGGGGGAAATGGTCAACAACAGTTAGTGAGGTTATAGCGGAGAAGGACGGATCGGCGATTCACTCGCAGGGAAGGCGACTGGGACGATGGGCAGAACACTTTGAGGAACAGTTTAACTGGCCTCCAGCCACCATTGCGCTGCCCGCTATCCAGTCGGACCCTGAATGGGACATAGAGACAGGTCCCCCAACACTAGAAGAAGTTGAGAAAGCGGTAGGTAGCCTGAAACGGGGAAGGGCAGCAGGACCAGACGGACTACCTGCTGAGGTATACAAGAATGGTGGTAGAGTTCTCTTAGTCAGGCTAACGGAAGTGTTAGCCAGTATATGGGAATCAAATACGATCCCCTCCGACTGGTCTAAGTCACTCATCATCCCAGTCTTCAAGAAAGGCGAGAAGTCCTCTTGTGATAACCACAGAGGAATCAGCCTGACAAACATAGTGTCTAAGATCCTAAGTTCTATAATTCTCCGACGCCTGAGTGGAGCTCGGGAACAGCAAGCCCGAGAAAACCAGGCAGGCTTTAGACCTGGCCGTGGATGTATCGACCAAATATTCACACTGCGCCAGGTCCTGGAACATAGGCATGCTTACAGACGCCCGACAATAGCTGTATTTCTCGACCTGAAGGCGGCATTTGACTCCGTTGATCGAGAAGTCTTATGGCAGTGTCTGTCACTGAAAGGCGTGCCTAGTAAGTACATCACCTTATTGAAAGCTCTCTACTCGAACACTTGTGGGCATGTTAGAGCCTATGGTGAGTTGTCCAGGGAGCTATACTCATCAAGTGGTGTCCGTCAAGGATGCCCACTATCCCCATTCTTATTTAATTTTATCATAGATATTCTTATGGAGGTTTCCCTCTCGTCACCTAATTACAAAGACGTTGACCGGATCACAGGTGAATTTTCCTTAGATCTAGAATATGCAGATGACATAGTCCTGTTAGGTGAAGACGCTGACAAGATGCAGAGTCTTCTGAACACTTTGAGTGGGAATTTGAGAATGTTTGGGATGCGATTTTCACCACCCAAATGCAAATTTTTGCTCCAGGACTGGTCTTCAGCGGTACCGCGGTTAACAATAGAGAGTGAAGTGGTTGAGTGTGTTGACCACTTCACTTACCTGGGAAGTAGGATCAACCCGGTGGGTTAGTTGCCGATGAGATTTCTGCACGGATACAAAAGGCTCGATTGGCTTTTGCCAATTTGCGCCACCTATGGCGCCGCCGTGATATTCGTTTGTCTATTAAGGGTCGCGTGTACTGCACAGCAGTCCGCTCTGTTCTACTGTATGGCTGTGAAACATGGCCATTGAAAGTGGAAGACATGAGAAGGTTACAGGTATTTGACCACCGTTGCCTTCGTAGTATAGGACGTATTCCGTGGTGTCACCATGTGAGTAATGCAGAAGTTAGGTGTAGAGTTTTAGGGAGAAGAGGTAAGTCAGTCGACGAGGTTGTGAACCTTCATCGACTGAGATGGTTGGGACACGTACTACGTATGCCTAGTCACCGATTGCCTCGTCACACAATGTTGGCTGAGGTGGGTTCAGGCTGGAAAAAGGCCCGAGGTGGCCAGACTAAAACATGGCACCAATGTATGAAGTCTCTGACTGTTGGTTTAAGCCATGTAGGACGATGCAGACTAGGTGGTTGGGGTCCACGGGACAAGAGGAACCAGTGGTTGGAGACCCTAGGTGATATGGCTCAGAACCGAAGTCAGTGGCGCAGATGTATACACACATTATCCTCATCTTAACAACGCTATACCGAATCTCACTATTTTGTCACTCCTCTTTCCTTTCTTCTCGTACTTTATATTTCTTTTGACTGCATTCACTTATCTTCATCCTTCACCTCACTACCTTTTTACTTGATGTGCTGATATGAGGTGTGGCAACTCGGACCGTTACGCAGTAATGCCTGGTCCTATGTTGATAATGATGATGATGCTTACGCTCGCTGCTGAAGATCAGATGGCCAGAAAAAATAAGCAACAAGGAACTCTGGGAACGAACCAACCAAGAACCTATCACGCAACAAATATGCAGGAAGAAGTGGAGATGGATTGGCCATGCACTGAGAAGGCCGACTGAGGACATCACGCGTCAGGCCCTCGAGTGGAATCCCCATGGGAAGCGACGAGTTGGACGTCCGAGGGTGACATGGAGGAGGTCATACGAGGAGGAAATGAGAGCTTCTGGGCTGTCGTGGAACAAGGTTCAAAAGATCTCAGAGAACAGAGGTCACTGGAGGCGTGCTACTGAAGCCCTATGTTCCACTAGGAACCCAAGGGACTAATAATAATAATAATAATAATTTTATGCATGTACAATAGCTGACCTGTACATGGAAATCTCAAAATAATTGATCAATTCCACATCAGAAACAAAGTAGACATCATCTCAGAGTGTAATGACATTGCCAAATACTGCAATATTTCAAATGGGATTTATTAATGATGGATGGTGGCTAGCAGTGGAATCCAGGATGCGTGCTTCGTGCTATTTGGGACTCGTCAGCTAGAGATATACCTGCATCCATGTGAGTGATGTTGTTACCCCTACCAGGACTCAAATTCCAGACCGATCACTTCAAATGCCACAGCCTTATCCACCAGACCGTCGAGTGTCGATAGCCACTTCTTATACAAGAACTTTAAAATGTCATGTTTACAAATCGAATATTATCCATCACCGTTGTAACAAAATATACTGTAGGAACTTGTGAACGAATAAGTTGAATGTCAGCTAATAATATGATTTGATCGATGCTCCAAGTGGGAAACAGAGACAAACAAACTGTGCTCGTCTTACCATATTTTGTCCACTTTACACATCAACACTGGAAAAGCTGAATAATAAGTAATCAGGCAACCGTATGGACTGACTCACTCACGGTCACCGGCTACTTTCGATGCAACTCACAGTGTGATCATATATCCTTCCTTATCCAATTGATGATGCATTATGATCAATGTGTGTAAATGCTTTTATGATGCAGTCTACTGTCGTTGTTTAGTAAGAAAGAGTAGTGTGTACGCTGATATGCCACAAATTCACAACTCACATGAAGACAATTGACAAGCATCAGTTGGACAACCACTGAAAACTTAACTGCTATAGACAAAAATACGCGACCACGACCTCGACTCGTCTGAGATTGAATTCACTTAATTCAACCACAGAGCTACAGTTTAATGGTCTACACTTTCGTCATATAGAGTGACTATCCACCAAAGTCTTCAGTTGGCAACTACTTCACTTCCCACTACTTCATCGCACACGTCACGGTTTCTCATTACAACTTCGGGATAGCAACAACGAAGTATGTCACTAAAGTCCATGGAGATTTAATTAACCTACATGAAGGAAGCTAATGTCTTATTCACGTACTTGTAAAATAAATGGAACGGGTCCCACACGATCCTACAAATACAAGCGATATTAGATAAACGATTGGCATTCACCGGAATTTTCAGGTTTATTCTTGAACATTCTCATCAACAGGCTAGATGACTTAATTACTGAGTATCAACAGTCTCCAGCAATCGATTTAAGTTGACACAAAGACTCCAACCGGCAAGGCTACATCACCTTGAACGACTTTGACGGACTAGTGTCACCTTCTAGGCTGATCGTCTTTCATCTTCTTCCTCCTAGCCTAAACCTTCTCCAATTAGCATTGCACAACCAATATTAGGCAAAGAACAACAGAATAATACTGAGGATAGGAGTTTTTTTTTTCACTACAAAGACAATAAGTTGAGCTAACAATCTTACTGTAAAAAAATCATAAAATATCCCAATATCACAAAGTAGGTTCATATTATTATTGGAAGCGATAATATTAGTAGCAGTAGCATGAAATGGTAGGAGAACATGCAAAGTACAAAATAAGTATGTAAGCATGTGTGTGAATATCTGACGATAGACACGTACATGAGTGAACATAAAAATCCTATGTTGTTTACGTTCTCATCCAATGTACGCAAAAGTTGTTTATATCCACTGACAAAAAGACAACAGAGACGGTGGAGGCATCGCAGACGAATGGACGAATGAGTTGAAGAATGAATGATGTTGAAATGTGCATACATATGTATGATATCACATATTCGCCTTGAAAAAAAGGAGAAAGAAAAGACAACGAATGATGAAAAGACACAGCCAGAAATCTTCTTGGTATGTGTGTCCATCACTGTTACAAGAAAAGTTGATGTAGTAAAATATGTGAACCAAAATCAACGCACCACGCTTGATCACTCTATGGTGTAGTAAACAGTAAGCAATACTTATTGCGTGATGGCTAATGATAATTAATGCTTAGCTGCACTAACTTCGTTAGATGGATCCGGGTTCGAACCTGCAACTCATCTGCAAGGAATCAACTGTCTGGATCCATGAGAAACAGCCTTACAATTGCCTAAGCCAAAGTGAGTGAGAAGGTACTTTGAGCAGTGATTACTAAATATTAGTCATAATTATTGAATGTCTCCACCTTTCCAGTTGTTTAATAAAGAGGAATTGTTGGAGTACTTACTCCCTGTACGGCAGGTCTAGGTACCACTAGCTAACGTTTGGTTTCACCTAGCAGTGGAGTTTACAATTTGCCTCTTCCTACTCAGAACTTGTAAATGCATCTTCGTTCAAATGGAATATGGTAATACCTTTCCAAAAACACATAGAGGAAAGTGTAGAAATTCTTCTCTAACCCAACAACATTGTGGTTTTTTAAAAACATTTTGTGCTGAGTTTGTCCCGTGTTAACACAAACACGTTGCAAGTAAATACCATCTCAGAAGATGAAAGTACACAACCTTATGAATTGACGTTTCTCTCTTTTCACCTTTAAACTCTACACCTGACTTCTGCATTACTCATGTGGTGACACATTATGGAACACGGCATACACAACGAAGGTAGAAGTGGTCTAACACCTCAACCCTCCTCATATCCTCTACCCTTAATGACCATTTTCCCCAGACATACAAGAGAGAACAGAGTCAACTACAGCGCAGTACACTCGACTGACTTATTTTCTAAGTCCTTCACTTAACAAACACCAATTACATTCGTAGTAGATAATACGGTTATTCAGAAGGATGAACAACTCGAAATCATGGATTAACTACGATGGCTTATTTATCGATGGAAAGGGGTAGTCGTTACAACAACCTATTTACATTTAGGACACCCTTGTTAGCATGTATATAGGTAGCAAAGTGAGCTGTGTACAGTGTCAGAATATTAAAAAAAACTCAATACTCCTTCTGAAACAGTAGCCAAATATCTCACAACTGCTCTCATCATTCATAGTATCAGTTGTTCCAGTCACTTCTGTTAAACACTAGTGCCTCACGAGGTAGTAAAAGCATACACATCATCGAAAGCCTGTATGACTCTTCTAATCACTGCTAGTCAATCACAGGATGATCTTTACTTTGACCAATACCAATCCACAGAGTTAAATGGTTGAACATTCCATTGGCCATTGATAAAATTTGCTGAGATGACCGCCATTCACCAAACTGGTAGTGTATTCATATGATGTGAAATGAACACTTTAGGTTATATCAGGGTTCAAACCAGCCGCCTCCTGATTACTGTATGAAGAAATTTTCGATAACAAATGGCTTCGCAGCATTGCTCGTATATGGTGGAATTGAAATGTGAGCAACATTAAGGTCGGAAGAAGGGTTCTAGGGAAGGAACACACGTCAGTCGATGAGGTTGTGAACCTCAGTTGACTGAAATGGCTTGGACATGTACTGTGTATGCCAAACCACTGCCTGCCTCAACGTGCCATGATAGGATAGGGAAAGTTGGGTGGTGAGATGATGGACAACATTTGTAGCTCAGGAAAATAATTTTGATACTGTTATGTTCTCTGAGCTGAGTGGTTCATTCATAGAGCTTCCAGTGTCATTCTAGACAACATCATTAGCACAAACATTTTTCTGAAGTCACTACATCATGCCAATTCTTGACCTGATCACTTCCGGCTACTTCAATCTACAAACTACGATAAATAATGTAATCCAATGCAGCTTCGTGTTGTGAGCTGAATCAACTAAGAAAAAACCGATGGTACGTACCACTTAGCCGTATAAGAAAGAGGGAGACTAAAGTTCATGCTACCTCCAATGTTTAAACCTTAAGTTTTATTTATACAGTTCGTACACACAGTACTGATGAACAATTTGAGTAGTCAGGACCTAATCACTCACGCAAGGTCTGTGAATTTCATTAGCCACCCAGCCAGATCAGTGATCTAAACACCAGATAGCTGTTTCGTTCATTTGGCGTCAAAGCGGCTCATCAGTGGTGTACCTGGACAAATTTGTCTCATACACTCTGATCACATGAATCAGGTGAGTTGTTCCTAACTATCAAGTTGTTCAGTAGTAGTTCATGAACACTTTTGTGTTGGAGATCACACCTTTTCGTCTTTCTTGGTTAGTGGTTTGAAACAATAACCCTGCTAACTGGCACCACAATCGAGTGGCAGTTGAAAAGCTACTTAGCTGTGAGAAATATCAAGGTGGATTGTGCAATTTGTGAATCACTAATATTATAGTTAGTATATGGTACTTTTTTGGCTTGCATGCATAATCACATCACACAGCATAAGTACAATACACCACATACAACATGTGGCACAATTTGTCATACTCGCATTGTACCTGCACTGGTCAGTTGTCTCATCCTAGTTTACGGTTACTACTCAGCAGTGCATACTCCGCAATCTCGCAACAGGAGATCGAGATAAGCACTACCAGATGTTAAACATAAACACACACACACACACAACAGTTAAGTTACCACTTTAGTAACTGGGTCCACTAACCCCTACTTTTGTCAGATCATGACGTAACGCGATAACCATTCAATGCCTCCGGTGAGCGGCCGTGTGCTCACCCACCCCACAAATTGGATCACTTCCTTGTGGAGATTGAATCTCTCAAAATTCTAGTGATAACCAAGTTGAATGTGAGACACATGTTGCTCACCGAGTGACAACAACCACACACACATACACACCCACAGACCATTGCAATCAATAGATTAACAGCTATACAAAATGACTTACATAGGGGAAAAAAATAAACAAAATAATCCTGTTTGTTTCTTTTTTAACAGGAATCAATTTCTGTTTGTTCGAAACCCAGGCGGCAAAAAAGACGGTAAAGCATACTGATTGACAGTGTTCACAATATCACAACCATTCAATAACTGAGATACACGTGTGCTTGAGTTTTGTGAATTGTTCAAGAGTAATCCTTGTTGAGATTCATTTGTTGGCTGATGTAGTTGTTGTTATTGATTCTGGTGGTGGTGGTCCCAGTTATAAGGATGATGACGCTGCATCTGAGTTGATGGTTGTACCGAACACTGAAGACATTGGTCAGTAGTTGTAGTTGAACTATTCAGTGAAGTCAATGGATCATAATAACGTGTACCGGGACCACTAGAGGTGGTTTTGCAATTACTACTCTTGTTGTTCACTTGAATTCTAATTTGTACACATGAATTCATATGCACAGCCCAATGTTTCGCTTGGCATACACCATTGCAATATGATGTATTCCAGCAACAATAATAATATGCTACACGTCCACAATAAGCGCACTGAAGTGTAGAAAGACGTGAAAACAAAAACAAAAAAGAAATAATCACTTCCATTCGCTTACAGATAAATAAAAAGATGCTTTGTATCTATTCAGTAGTTATACAAACATTTGTGTATTCTACAAAGATAATTTTTCTTCTTAAAAGTGGTGGTCTGGCTTGCGTATCACAATAACCTGACGAGCGACACTGGCTGAGATGCTCGTTCCCTCGACATCCTACCATACCAGAAAGGTCAGGTGAATAGTGGTAAGACGAAAGGCAGTTACCCTCATAGTGATATGACAGAGGTCCCAGAGTGATGTTTTACTGCCGGCTGGACAGCAACACAGTAAAGTAAGTGTTGCCCACGAATGACCAGCAGTGGCACACTGATGCTGTCTTCCCTAAGAGAAAGGGGTGACAGTTACAAAACGCTGACCCTGAAAATAAATAACACACTCTCCACTATCCCCTGATATGCTTGCTGGTTAATGAAAACACCCAAGAATTTGCAGATTTTGAGCCGTCATGAAAGGTCGAAGAGCAAAGATTCCTATCGCCTAGAAGTACCCAGTCAGCCAGAACGCCTACACTGTTCTACATGACTCATACCATCAGTTACGGATTCCATAGACTGGTGTCACATCGTCGTCTGACCACTTTTAGCATGCGAAGTAGTGGGCATGAGAGTATGACACTGAAGTAGAACAGAGAGGATGTAAAGGTGAAGGTTAGTGAAAATGCTGTAAATTCTGAAAGTGACATCTGCACTACTTCCAGCGATTTCCAGTTACGTCATCATAGGATTTCAGTCATCGATCCCTAACATCATGGGACCTTCAGTCAAGCGATCGACACCTTCCTACACAGCTTAGACCAACATCCCAAGGCTCTATGCACTGATGCCGTGCTTTGAAAAGACCATCGTCAGCTCTCTTTTAGTCACAAGTAGGGGTTTCTGTACGTCTTCCCCTACAAATGATGCACCAATGACTTATAAAGTTTAGTCAACCGAAATCCAACCAGCAACTTTGTGCACATTCGTGCAGTAGGCAATGAGCCACGCCTTTTGTTTGGCAGCTGATGATACTGCCCGGCTGTCCAAACCACGGTAGTTAGAGCGGAACTCGGACATGTGGCCCACCGGTCGAAAGTCATCACTCCGAGCCAATGAACATGAGTAGTCCTAGAGTACACACACACACACACACACACCGAACAACAGTGCTCACTAAAAAGATCAAAGTGACCTAAACACCGGATGGTCGTTTCCCTCGTTTCTGTGGCCAGGCTCATCATCAGCAGTGTACGCACACTGATTCAGATCACAGCTGAATTGTTCAAACCATCGTAATTGGTCATAAGTAGAATGAAACCAGGTGCTCACGAAATACTGCTGGTCGATATGAACGGTTTAGAATCACTCATATCAGTCTGTAATATATTTCGTAAAGCCTTCAGACTCAAAATCTTGACCCTAATAATGGTCTCTAGCTGAGCACATTATGTGATCTCAACATATTCTGTATTTTGCCAACATACCTGGTTCAACTCCAGTCGAAACAGCCTTCACAACACGTCAAGAATGTTTTACATCCAGAAAGCAAAGTTTTATCACCTGACTGGATGACCATCTCAACAATTACTTTATGAAGAAGAGAAGCATATTCCAGTATTCAGACAGTGTATTTATTGACCTCTGATGTTGTGCAATTGTAAGTTGGGGAAGAGGATTTTGTCGCACGTTGACCTCTTCGACAATAGATTTCACTCGGCCACTGCTGTGACAGGAAATTCTATTTGGAGTCAAATTCGGCCATATTTCTCCTGTCACGCAATGCTTCATTATTGAATTGTTTGGTTGACGTTCACAATGTTGACGAAAATTTGATTCTTTTCTAAAGAACACTGATGAATGTGTCAATATCCACGTGCATATTGAAACATCATTCATCTAGAAATTCTATTGTAGCTTTCGAACCCTTCTCTTTCAGTGTTCCTGAGTTATCTCAGTCAAACATGTAGTCATGATTTTCGTCATTTGTTGGATCTAAGTGGGTTGTGTCATATCGCTTTACTGCTAGTTACTGTTCATGAATGCATTGAACAATCCGACGGCTCGGTTTGTCAACGTAGCATTGCAAACTATCGTTGTAGTTGACTTTGTCAATTATACTTATCCAAACGACCCTTATGGGTGCATAAGGTAGTATGCAGTGACTTGCTTGTTTGGTGGGCTACTCCGATCTCAGTAGGTCGGAGGAATCAGTTGACCCTTTCTGAGACATCCATCAGGTAGGCTAGGGTAGAAGGCTTATTGATCTAAGATAATTGCATTGTCCCGTCCTCTACTGATGAACAGTTTTGATACAGTTGTGTATATAATGATGAAATTTGGACGGTTTGTCCATGTACTTTTCTTCTTCTCTTCAAAGCGGCTCACTGTCACAATGAGCTTCGGCTCTTCACAATAATGTTTATACACGACACTTCGAATGGAATGTAGGAAGATTGCGGTTGTAGTTCGAACTTCAAACTTTATGTTTGGTGTACACGTGTACACACTAGCTCGCAACAACCTGAAATGCGTCATGCTGATGAGGGCGTCTAGAAGGGGAATTTCGTTGTTGGCTTCCTCATCCCCCCCACCCCCTGTGAAGTGATTTCTCCCAAATGTTTGCTTCACTAATTTGAACATGTTTTCCATTTTATCCTCCATGAGAAGTATCAAAGGTGGTCAACGCTACGGATCTCAAATTTCATTTTAATGCGAGGAATGAGCATTGATTCCAGTCACGACAGCTTCAGCAATCAATTCTGCTTTCGGTGGTCTCATGAGTATTTCTCTTGTTCGCTTTCAAATCTTTTCACTTAACTGTCAGTAGGTCGTATTTCATATACTCATCAACTCGAGTTGATTTGGAGCATAAAATTCTATACAGTCTGGAAGATTTTGATCATCATCATCACCATCGATATCAACAAAGGATCAGACATTACTGCGTAACGGTCCCACTTGCCACACTTCATATCAGTACATCAAGTAAAAAGACAGTGAGGTGTAAGATGAAGATAACAAAATTCAGTCGAAAGAAATATAAAGTAGGAAAAGAGAGAAAGGAAGAATAAGAAAATGGTGAGGTTCGGCATAGTGTCGTTAAGATGAGGATAATGTGTGTGGGGATACATCTACGCCACTGATATCGGTTCTTAGCCATATCACCTACAGTTAATCTCCAACCACTGGTTTCTCTCGTTCCGCCGACCCCAACCACCTAGTCTGCATCGCCCTCACCCTACATGGCTCAAACCAACAATCAAACACTTCATACATTGATGCCATGTTTCAGTCTGGTCACCTCCAGCCTTTTCCCAGCCTGAACCTACTTCGGCCAACATTGTGTGACGAGGCAATCGGTGACTAGGCATACGTAACACGTGTCCCAACCATCTCAGCCGACCAAGGTTCACAACCTCGTTAACTGATTTATCTCTACTCCTTCCCCGAAACTCAACACCTGACTTCTACGTTACTCACGTGATGTGGTGACAACCTAAAGCACAGCCTATACTACGAGGGCAACGGTGGTCAAACACCTGCAGCCAGGCTTCTCATATCTTCCACCTTGAATGGCTACGTTTCACAGCCATGTAGTAGAACAGGTCGGACTCCTGTGCAATACACGCCACCCTTAGTAGACAATCGGATATCACGGTGGCACCACAGGTGGCGTAAGTTGGCAAGTAAACCGAGCCTTTTGTATCCGTGCAGAGATTTCATCGGCCACTAAGCCACCAGGACAGTGCTGATCCTACTTCACAGGTTAGTGAAGTGGTCAACGCACTCAACCATTACACTCTTTATTGTTAGCTGAGGTTCCATTGAAGACCAATTTGCATTTCGGTGGTGAGAACCACATCCCAAACATTCTCAAATCGCCACCCAAAGTCTCCAGAAGACTCTGCATTTTGTCAGCGTCTTCACAGGATTAACAGGACTATGTCATCTGCATATTCTAGGTCTAACGAAAATTCTCCTGAGATTAGGTCAACGTCTGTGTAACCAGGTGACGAGAGGGAGACCTCCATAAGAATATCTATGATAAAATTGAATAAGAATGGAGACAGTGGGCATCCTTGAAGGACACCACTCAATGAACATAGCTCCCTGGGCATCTCATTTTAGGCTCTAACACGCCCACAAGTATTCGAGTAGAGAGCCTTCAATAAGGTGATGTACTTACCCAGCACGCCTTTCAGTGAGAGACATTGTCATAAGACTTCTAGATCAACGGAGTTGAATGCCGCCTTCAGATTGAGAAATACAGCTATTGTCGAGCATCGGTAAGCGTGCCTATGTTCCAGAGCCTGGCGCAGTGTGAATATTCGGTCAATACACCCGCGGCCGGATCTAAAGTTTGCCTGGTTTCCTCAGGTTTCCCTTTTCAGACCTCCACTCAGGCGTCGAAGAATTATGAAACCTAGGATCTTAGACACTATGTTCGTCAGGCTGATCCCTCTGTGGTTATCACAAGAGGACTTCTGGCCTTTCTTGAAAACTGGAATAATCAGTGATTCAGGCCAGTCAGAGGGGATCGTATTAGATTCCCATATACTGGTTAACACCTCCGTTAAAATGAAAATGATACTCTGCCTCATCCACCAACAAGAAAATATATACATAAATCAATAAATCATAATCCCTTTCACACAAACTAACCCATTGGCATCGTTTCACTGCATCAACAATCTGTACAACATCTTGTTCCCACATTTTACCAGCTGACTCTACAACAGCCTTCAGTTCATAACTCCAAATTTTGCGTAATTCAGAGATCCGGCGATTCATTTCCAGTGCCATCTCAGCACGTGTATACGCCAGTAGAACATTCAATCGTTGATTCTCTTTTTCCATACGCCAAATTTCTGCCTCCATTAATCGTTCTTGGAAGGTTGGTGGACGATGACCAAATTTCGACGGCGATGAAGTGGGAACAACATCAGTTTGAACTGTTTTACATTCCGCTGACTTACATGCTTTCAATGAATTATCTACACAGGACAATGATGATGATGATGAGTCCAGGTCAATATTCTGGTATGGAGCATTATCGTCTTCAGTTTGAACGGCAACATCTGAGCATATTCGATGCAAATGAGGAAGTCGCGGTGCACTGCCTAGATTGATATCTTTAACAGAAAAAGGAAAAAAAGAAAAGAAACCAGTAAAAAGTAATATTAATTGGGTAAGAACAGCCAAACTACTCTTCCAAGTACTCTGCACAGAGTTATGGGTGACTAGGAAGGCTGTCAGTCAATCGGTGTAGCTTGCAGCAATTAACCAATCTGGTTGACTAGAAGTGTGCAGACGCTGACAAAATAGTATCATCTAAACGCCTCCAGCAGATATTCCAGTATTCTTAAGATGTGTTTCGCATTTGTCAAATTTAAGATAATGCCTAAGGACAGATGGGTAGCTACTCTCCTAATTCAAGGATAGGGAATGAGAGTGTTAGAATGCATTGACGCCTTTATTCACTTGGAAAGTTGCATCAGTTTAGATTGGCTATTTTTCGAGCAATCTCAACTGGAATACAAAGGGTCCATCTGATACATGTCAACTTAAGTCATTCCTGGCGCTGACTCGTTAGATATCTAACTACTTATAAACGACGAGTACACCAAACTGCAGAAGTCCACCGCGCTCTGTCTTCAACACGGCTGAGATTTGGTCCTTGAAAATGAACGATGTGAAGATATTGCAGGAATTTGACCACAAATATCTTTTCAACACTTCTAACCTATGGTGGAACCATAGCATGAGTAATGTCGAGGTTAGACTACGAAACGTTGATAACGAGGACAAATAAGTGAGTCGATGAGGATATGAACCTTCCGCCATTAACATAACTTGGAATTTTGTTGAGCTTGCCATATATCTTGACGAATAGTGTTAACCGAAATAGGATTAGGTTGGAAGAAGGATCAGGGTGGCGAACCCCAGATGTGACACGAGCTCATGAGGTCTCTGACTGTTGGTCTAAGGTATATGTGGAGCTGTAGACTTTGTTTAGGATCTTCCAGATAGTAAGTATCAACGGTTGGAGATCGTCGGTAATAAGGTCCAAAATCAACCACAATGGCCCAGAAGTATCCACTCTTTGATATCTTCTGAAGCTTGGATGTTTTCAAACCTCATTTTTGTTAAAAAATTCTCCTCCCACACACTTTAATTTGCTTTAATATCAGTCTTTTTCTACCCAGTTGTTCTTTGCGTGGTGTTGTAAAGTGTGGCAAGTTGAAGTGATGTACATCTGTGCGAGGTTTTGCATTGATGTTGACTGCCTGTACTGACTACTTAAGAAGCCGCCTGAGATCAGTCTTCTTGCTGTCGCGGTTTCACATGAGCTGGAACAACTCCCAATTACTGCTAAGCTTAGCTGCTGCTTCCATTTCACTTACACATTCTGACCACCAAGTCTGGTAGTCCTGATGTATATGCTACATGATCTATTGTGTAAAGAAATAACGCACACAAAAGTACTCACCTTCAACCGGAGAACACTGATAAATCTTCAGCAGCTGTATGGAGCAAGCACAGACGCAGAGTTTATTCGAAACCGCAAAATATCTTTACTCCCCTTTTTCAACGCGTCGTTCAAGTATAGTCAATGCTCATTTATACCTCCTGGATGTGCAAGTGAATCAAAATCGGTTTGGTATTTACTTGCAGTACTGACAGCAACCATTTTGGCTGAGTCGACTGATCAGAGATGACGATTTTGATGAACACAAAATGCAAGGTACATTTACTGACCACCAAAGGTGTGATTTAAGTTCAAACAGGTGCTCCAGAAGCAGTGGAAAGTCTTCAACACATCCACCACATAGGTAGTAAATTGCAATATGATCTTTTTCAGTTCAGGTTTCGATAGTAGACGGAAGAATAACAATAGACGGATATGCAGTGGACAAGAGAATATCGCACGATTCCACCAAAGCCTATTGCATAATGTGTGCGAGCACATCATTATTATACTCAATAGGGTGTACTCACATCCGCTCAACTATCGGTTGATATGGAAACAAGATTGGATGGTGGATTTACCTGTCAACTGTCTTCATAAAAATATCTAACGATTTTTCTTCTAATACATAAGAAAAATAACATTTCAAGCCAATAGTAATCAAACAATGTTGACTGACTGAGTTAAATCGACCCACATACACTGTAACATGTCAACCTAAACAATCGCAACGGCTGTTCAATATTGTTTAGATGAAATCGTTGTAGTTAGCGGGCACTATCTGACTTCTCTGTGTGTGTATTCATGTTTCCTTTGTTAACGCAATTCTTGGTGTTGAGCAGGTGACAAATGATTCTTTCAGGGGAATGTTTGTTCAAATCTTACAACTGGATAACGCCTAGGTATCGCATTATCTTTATAGACTAAGAATCTTGTAAACACTGACTGGAGAGTAATGATATTTAAAAGATAAGAAGAAGAGTTTGAATACAGTAAGGACAGAATACTCTATGGGCTGGTTTTAATTTCATGCGCTCTACTCAGTTGCTTACGACAACCTACATAATGTATCATCAAAAGGCATTGATTGTAAATCAATTCAGATGCATTTAAGAAGTTGAGAAGGAATTACCAATGGAAACAAAAGGGTAAGATAGATTCAGAACAGTGGAGACCAGTCTGAAAGGAGGAAGAAATTGTAAGGAATGTCAGGAAGATTCAAAATAAACAGCCCCGTTTATGAGCTTTGACAAAATAACATGTGATTTTTCCGACTTGTGTGATGTAATTCAACGGATCTGCACAGACACCACTTTGAAAGGTGAGACAAGAGTGGGGACTAAAACCTACTGTTCACTTTACCCTGAAGGACGGCTTCATCAAGCTTTCATAGAAACGTGACTATCTCGAGGTGATCCCTGGTAAAAGACTTGACGCCGCTATCAGAGAGGTGTCTCTTAAACCTTTACAGTATGTGTCAGGCTTCAATCGCATCAACCTATTGAACCGAACGTGTATTGACACATACACAGAGGGAGGATTCCAATCTGCACGTACCTTCCCTTCCTTCCAAACCTTTTGCAGTAGTGGTATGAACATGTCCGCTGTTGTCTCTGCGTCTGTATTTAGTGCCTCTGGCTGAATTCCATCTGGTCCTCCTGCTTTGCCGGATTTCAGCAGTTTTATGGTTTTATGGATTCATAAATCCATACACGTGCAAGCATTGGAGCGTATTCCAAAGTAAATTCAATCACCTGACCTTATAAACTTAGGGAGCAGATACCCAAGCTGTGTGATTACGTAGCGTATTACTGAGACACGTCACATGATAAGTGGTTTTACGTGTTATAGATCTAGTTACAAAACCTTGTTAGGGATGTATCCCTAAATTTTTCTCCAGACATTAGGTACTGGGGAGTATAAACCACCGTTGTGATCATCAATAGAGCAAAACACCTGTTCTCATGAGTCCAGCGGTTTTCCAGCTAATATCACTTCGTAATGAGACCAATCAACCAATCAATCCACACAAACAATCAACTACACATCTGTCGCTCTTGCTTCATTCGAGTTCCTAGGTGTGGAAAGGTGTAAGACCTTAATAATAGTAGTAGTAGTAGCAATAATAATGATAATGCTGGGGGATGATCGAAGGTGAAGTGAAAATCCGAGTCACAGTAAGATTCGAACCAGTTATCTTCGGATTTCAGACCCGGTGCTCGACCAACTAATCTGCGAGAACCAGCTGCAAATCAGATCTTAATTTCACTTGTCACTAATTTTTTTTCCCTAGTATCAAACGAAGCGAAACGCACCAAGACACCTTGTGCATATCAGTATAGTAGGCAATAAGCCACACCTATTGTGTGAAGGTTAGTGATACTATCTGGCTCACCTAACTTTGATAGATGACGCAGGGCTAGAACCCGCGACCCAATTCCTGATAGTCGAAACCACAGCTTTACTTTGCCTGGATCAATAATGCAAGCCAGCCAAACCAAGGATATCTCAGACAGCCAAACTGATAATCAATATGATGCTCCTCCTTCCTAACTCACCTCGATTTGGATTGAGATGAGAAGCTCTGGTTGGGTAGCTAGAATGAATACGACGAACGGACACTAGTGACGCGTCATAAATTCAAATGGCAGTCAGGAAGAATCTTTGATGTTTTAAGTGAAATTAGGGTTCGGTCTCTGGCTGAGTCTCGCAGCTGTCAGATGACAGAGAGATGGGGGTTGATAATCCAAAGATCACTGGTTTGAATCCTACAGTGGCCTAGATCATCATTCCATCTTCAACCATCAACCAGTATAAATAATACAAGTCAGCCAAACCACTGCTACCTCAGATAGCCAACCTGAATAATAATAATAATAAGGGAAAAATACTTTCTCACTACTCACCATTATCACTCGTAGATTCCGCGAGAATGTCACACTTTTCCTCTAATTTGTGTAAAGCATCGTAAAGTAAACTTCGAAAATCATTAAATGCCATTTGTACGATGTTGTTTGTATTTGATGTGGAAGGTCTTCAACCAGCAGGAAAAAAAGAAAGACTAAATACATGAAAATCACATACACGTTTTTATTGAATAAACAACTGATACAATTTAAACCGTATTAGTAGTGGCAATATCTCTCCCTGACTGCAGCACAAGTTAACGCGAGTTCGAACCTCTGATTATCATACTTTTATTTTTACCCTTGGGTTCCTAGTGCAACATAGGGCTTCAGTAGCACATCTCCGTTGCACTCTCTTCTCTGCAGTCTGATCAACCTGGCGCCATGACTACCCACAAGCTTTCATTTCTTCCACACATGATCTCCTCCATGTCACCCACAGCTGGAACGCCCAACTCGTCGTTTCCCTTTTGGATTCCACTCGAGGGCCTGGCGCATAATGTCCCCAATCGGCCTTCTCCGTGTATGCCCAATCCATCTCCACTTTCTTCTGCATATTTGTTGGGTGGTAGGTTGTTGGTTGATTCGTTCCTAGAGTTCCTTCTTGCTTATTCTTTCTCGCCATCTGTTCTGATCTTCAGTATCGAGTGAGCGTAGGTGGCAGCTGTTGATGATGTATGTCTTCAGTTTGTTGGAAATGCTTTTCGTAACGCGCCAAGTCTCTGAACCACCACAGAGAAGCACTGACTTGACTGACTTAGTGTTGAAAATCCGGATCTTGTTCACGCTTTGTGCTTAGTGCAGTAGATCTCCACACTGATTTCAGATTAATGAAAGCCTGTCTTGCTTCTCCGATCCTGGTCTTGACATCCTCGTCTGTGCCTGTACCGCCTGTAGTTGAAACGATGCTGCCTCCTAAGTAGGTAGGTGAAGGAGGCGACTTCCTTTAGTTTTCTCCCGTTAATGGTGATTGGTGCCTCTTGTTGTTGATGTTGTTGCTGGTTGGGTATCTTTATCACGTTTGTCTTCTCTACGTTCACCTGAAGGAAGTCCCGTCTTCGCTGCCTTGCCTCTTCTGTCAACTTGTTAGTTTTCGCCTGTAGATCTTCGAGTTTGTGCGACGTTAGACAAATCATCATCGGCGAAATCCAAATCTTCTTCTGGGGTATTTTCGTCGGTCAAGCAGGGTATGCCCATCTTCTCTCTCCTCACGGTTTGCTGCATCATCCAGTCCACCACAATCACGAAGATGATGGGTGATAGTAGGCAACCTTGTCTTACTCTTATCTTCACTTCAAAGGCATCACTGAGGTTTCCATTGTGGATCACCTGGCATGTGGCGTCTTCATATAGCTATCGAATGAAGCTGATAAAGGTTTGTCGTGCTAAAACTGTAGTGTTGAAGCAGCCGCCTGCCAAATTACTTGTCGGTCGACGCTGTCGAAGACCTTTCCAAAATCGATGAAGTTGAGGTAGAGAGTTGACTGTCATTCTATACTCTGTTCTATGATGATGCGTAGCGTTGCGATTTGATCCGCACATGATTTGTACTTCCTGAAGACAGCCAGCCTGTTCTGGTCGTAATTTTGAATGCAGAGTATCTTTTAGTCTCTCCAGGATGATGCGGCATAATATTTTGCTTGGGGTGGACAGCAGCATGATTCCGAGTCAGTTCTTGCAAACACTTAGGTCGCCCTTCTTTGAAAGTGCTAGCCACATAAACTGAAGGTCCTGGGTTCGATCCCCGGTGAAGTGAGGTGGGATCACGAGTGCTTACTGCTGAGTCCCATACTGAAACGAAACAGGTTCTGTCCCTTGCTCCCAGGTTCTTAACGGTCCTCCCACTGATATCACTCTATGACCAATACCAAGTTGAAACCAATAAAATTTTAGGATAGGACAACATAAAATTGATTACTGTCCAGTGATTTGAACAAAACAGACTGAACTATCATTTTCTTTACAAACTGTTGCTTTCTGCTTTGAAAGCACTGTTTCGTCCTAGTTTGCGACTTGTTAGTAGCGCAATATATACCCATGAGCCTACTTAAAAAGTCGGGCTGATGACACTTACTTCACAGGTTGAATACGTCACCGCTTGTTCGATAGGTTAACACACCCAGTGGTTCGTATTTTCCAAGTCCAATCAGATGTTTATACATACATACATGTCACACTTAGTTTACCCACTATCTCAATCATGTAGTGTGATCGCGAATTCAGTAGAATATCCAGTCTTACTATGCAAAGGTAGACATCATCAGAGAAGATGATCTTGGTATAATAAAACAAGGATTTCACTAAGTTTCGTTGATATCTTGGAATGTGAAGAGCCATAGAGAAGTGAGCATCCTGACCCGTGAGTGCCCACTTTCGGTATATTCATCATCCCCAAGTAAATTTCTTATTACTAAAACATTGTTCTTCATAAACCTGTCAAGATGACGGCCCAATGAACGCTAATCAACTAGTCGTCCTCATTTTGAAGAATAATTAATGTATTGTCTTTACGTATTGGCCACAAAATTCCGACTGGTTAATTGTTTTCTCAAGGAAACCATTTGCTAGTTTGACCAGGGAAAAAAATCTGCCATGATCGCATCTAGAAGTGACACTACGACTACCACACCGTCACACAAACTACAGAATTTTTTGGTGAAGAAAAAGCTTGCATTCATCATAATGCACCTTAGAAGTAACTCGTTCAGGGTAGAGACAAGTACTCCTACATGTTACATAACTGAAGTCGACAGGAAGCCCTGCTCCACCTATGCTTCATGCTTGTTGGCACTCGTCAGCAAGGCCCATCTGCAATCTCCAGAGGATTTATGCCACCTCTGAGACTCGAACCTGCGCCACCTAGTGTTCCATTCGCGTGACCTCAACATTGTGATTCCACCAAACGCAAGCAGTGCTACGAAGACACTAGTGTTTGTAAATCTGTAAACGCTTCATACCTTTTACTTTCAAGACCCATGTTTCACAGTCATATAACAGGACAGAATGGACTGTAGTGCAGTATATACATATACAATAAAAATGACAAGGCAACTTACACTGTATGCATTATCGATTGTAATCCATTTGACAGTGAAAATGGATTTGATTTAACTTCAATTGACGGATAATGAGGTAATTCAGTATTACCAGCATTATTCGAGTTTTTATTGATGGCATCACTATCATTATTGTCACTGACAACAGTTGCAATAATATCATCTTCATTCATCGACACTAACGATGAAGAATGCTTTCGTGAAGATTTCTTCTTTCTTTTCTCCTTACTGGATCCAATACTACTAATACTACTACTGCTACCGCTATTGTCAGATATAATGACAGTTTGATACTGTATAGGTGATGATGATGATGGTGAAGTTGTCAGTATATCAGGATACTTTCGCTTCAGTTTACTGTCAGTAGGATCACTAGCTACCACTAAATGATCAGTAGTATGAAGTACTGATAATGAATCTGATGCGATTGGTGAATTACGCAAATCAGCGGCTACACGTGTCAATACTGGTTCACGATAGAAATCACGTGAGGTAGACACTGGATTCAGTTTGTATGGGATATTAGTTTGTTCATCAGTAATTAGTTCAACTGCCGCTAATTTACTATGATTTTTGTTACTATTATTATTACTGCGTGTATTAACCGTTTTTCCTGTTGATTCCATAGTTGATTTATTCATACTTCTTCTCGTCGTAGTGATAGAAGAAAAACCGACAGCCACAGAAGTCGAAGTACCGATGATAGTAGAAACCACAGGTGCTGTTGCAGTTGGATCATTCATCCTAGTAGAAGTAGTAACAGCAGCAGTAGTACTAACGAAACCAAACACTTCAGCGCACTGATGAGAACTAGAAGAAGATAAGGACGAAAAAGTGGAAGTGGATGGAGAAGAAATGCCACTAAATGGTCTGAAAATTAATTATAAAGAAAATAAAGACATATCACACTATCAATCAAACAACAAACACTGATGAAACCAATTGCACAGACAGATGAACAGTTAAAACAGAGTTCACCAATGAACAGATGAACAGTTAAATACTTTTTTTGCAGAAGTATACACATTCAATCTCTGCTCCCGTAAATATCAAAAGGAAATCACCGGCTACATCAAGGCATTTATACGCCAATAGTGGCAGATTGAGTCAATCCGAAACAATCCACAAAGTGAAATAACAATTTGCTCATATTTACGAATGATTTATAAATTGCACTGTCCACTTTGACACTTCTCGCAGCTGAGTGGTTTTTCAACTGCCACCCAACTGTGGTCTCAGTCAACAGGGCTTCCGTTGGAGGTCAGCCTCAGTCAGCCAAAATAGCAAGGTGCGATCTCCGATACAAAAGTGTCATGAACAAGCGAAATACATCATTACTGAACAACTTTAGTAGTTGGAAAACCACTCAGGATAGTGTGTGGATTTCGCCAACCAGATCAGTATTTCAGTTATATGAGCCCATGTACACCGCTAATGAGCGAGACGGCCCTCCGTTGTTCAGACCACTCTCATCTGGCTACTTGGCGAAATATAAAGATCAACCTCAGTGGTTTCTAACTAGGCATATTGTTCAGAAGTAGTATATATGTGGCCATTACAAGGCGGTAGCGGAGTGGATAATGGTTTGGGTTTGCATCCCAGTTGGGAATTTATCCCCTCCTCATCTTCCTGGGATGCGGATACGTCCAATTGACGAGTTCCATTTATGAGGAAAATTACACCCTAAATTCCTCAACTAGCGACTATCTATCATTCATATGCATTCCCATAGTTACTCTTGAAAGGAAATCTCAACAGCGGGCTCCAATCTAGTAATTCTATGACATCCTGTTATAATGCAGATCAGCAACTCAGAGTATGGTATATCCTTATCCAATAGGTGATGCATTATGATCAGTGTGTAAATGCTTTTATGATGCAGTCTACTGTCATTGTTTAGTAAGAAAGAGTAGTGTGTACGCTGATATGCCACAAATTCACAACTCACATGACAATTGACAACAATCAGTTGGAGAACCACTGAAAACTTAACTGCTATAGACAAAAATACGCGACCACGACCTCGACTCGTCTGAGATTGAATTTGCTTAATTCAACCACAGAGCTCCAGTTTAATGGTCTACAGTTTCGTCATATAGCGTGACTATCCACCAAAGTCTTCAGTTGGCAACTACTTCACTTTCCACTAGTTCATCCCACACATCACGGTTTCTCATCACAACTTCCAGATATCCACCTTGAAGCATATCACTAATGCAGTTTGAGGTCTATAGAGATTTAATTGTCAAGGTAATATTTATCACGGATTAACCTACACGAAAGAAATTAATGTCTTATTCTCGTAATTGTAAAACAGATGGAACAAGTTTCACACTATCGTACAAACACAAGCGACATTAGATAAACGATTGTTCACCGGAATTTCAAGGTTTATTCTTGAACGTTTTACCACCAGGCAAGGTGACTTTATCACTTCATGAAGAAGAGATATCTCCCTGACGCCAATCACACAGAGCGTCTTAACATACTAGTGTTTCATGGATGTTCAGTTTGTTCGTCTTTTGAAGAACATCTCTATCAGCGATAGGAAACCAGTTAGTGAGAAAAACACTAACTGGGGTGAGAATCGAAATGCAGTGAACAACCTTTTGCATATATTCGCGCAGTATGAAATTAGCTACATCTATTGCGTGGGGGCTAATGTACTACATATTTGCCTAAACCTAAGCAAATGGAGTGGTGTAGGAACATCTCGTTAACGAGTGAGTGCCAAGTAGGATAAAACCCGTGTACTGTATTCCACTGCTAGCCACTATCCAGTAATAATATCAAAATTGAAAACGCAGGCAAAATCGAGGCATCTATGCACAGGAATTCATATGCTAGTAGTGGCTGATCGATTCGGTGCGACTAACAATGGAGGTTCACAAGACAAAATCGGAAAAATTTTCTGCTTTCACATTATTTAGCTTATGCCATAATTCTATTGACCATATGAAGAAGGTAGGATTTCAAAGAACAACCCACTCCTTGGCTTACAACATAATATGCATCAAGGGAGAACAGCTGTTTAGCTGGAAAAAAAACTACTACTAGTCATGACATGAAGCGTTAATGCTTACTGTTGAACAGTCAGTCAGTTAACTGCCATCATAAACTACCAACGTACACCACTGAGTTCGTAACCTGCCAATATACACCAATGGGAAATTGAGGAGGTCTCTAAGAGACTGAGTGTTTACCGTCCCTAAATTTTTCAAGTCACCAGTAGTTTTACTAGCCGTTTTCATGGTTTATCTTAGAGCTGTCAATGCTCACCTTTACTTTCTGAATGTTCGACAAATAGGCTTAGGTTTAGCTCGGTTTAGTATTTAGCTGTAATACTAGATGTAACCACTGAGTAAGTGACAGCCAGTGCCTTTATCATAGTGTCTTTGAATATTGACTCTAGCACATATCGACCAACTTTTCTAAGTTTGACCTTGAATTACCACATCAACAACAATTTTAGCCATACTGATAATTGCAATAGGATAAACATGATGCAAAATCAAACTGATGCATTGCGAGACAGAGGCTAGAGCACATATTCTTGAATGATAATTAAAGTGAACAAAGTACCTTAAACATATGTGTGAAACCTTCTCTTGTATGGTTAAAATGATAAGTGACTGATCAAAGGTTAACTACGCTTATTACACAGAACACATGGACGAATTAAGAGATTGATGCCTAATGTAACTTATCAGAGTCTATCATAGGATTACGACATAGTCGCTAGGCTGACACGACATTGTGAGGCACTGCTTAAAGCAAGTCATGATTCGGCAAGCAGCATTGCATGATGACACACTGGCATACATGAGTGAACGATATGAAGCGGTTACAGGTTTTCGATCACAGTTGTCCTCGCACCATTGCTCGCGTTTGGCAGAATCACCATATGAGCAGTGTTAAGGTTAGGTGAAGGGTACTAGACAAGGAGGGGAAGGCGGTCGATAAAGTTGTTAATCCTCAGTGATTGAGGTGACTTCATTGTGTTGCACATGTCGAGCCACCATCCACCTCGATGTCCAACGCCAAGTCAAGTTGGATTAGTTCGCAAGAAGGTTCGGGCTAACCAGACCAGGACATGGCATCAATGCATAAAGTATCTGACTCTTGGTCAGAGCCGCATTGGGACATGCAAACTGCCTGACTAGGGTCCCCAAGAAGAAGGAATTGGTGGTTATGGTTTCTCTATGACAATGGCACAAATGCATTCACTTTTTGACGTCTTCTAAAGCTTTAATACTTGTACTAACCTTTTTCCTTCAAACTGTTTATTTCCTTATACACTTTTGTTTTCTTTGATGTCAGTCTTTTCTATCCACTTTTTTGTATACTGCTGTGAAGTGTGAAAACTTGAACCGATGCACGTCTGTGCGATGCTCTACGTTGATTTTGTCAGAACGATTTCATTTATATGGTTACCTGAATCCTCAGAAAAATCAAAAAAGTGGTAAGAGTAGGCACAAAAATTCGGTCGAAAACGTGCAACTTAGCAACGGACATTCGTTCAGTGCTCTTATGTGGTCAATAGTTCTCCCACTAACATCAGTCCGTGATCAATAACAATTTGAAATCAATAAAATCTCCACAAACGTGCAAACTGAGGTAACTAACTTCATATTAATCGCCGTGCTGAATTTCGGTGCACATCGAAATTTAGTACGCAGTAATGCCTGGTCCTATGTTGATTTGGATCAATAGATAGATCAGTGTATAATGAGTACTATCCATCAAAGATGTCAGCTCCCTCTATTCCAAATTCATCATAGACGTTCTTATTGAGGTCTAACTCTTGTCATCTGTCAACACAGGGATTAGTTTATTCACAGAATAATCCTTTCTATTTCTAGAATACCTAAATGTAATAGTACTTTTAAGCGAAGACGCTGATAAAATGCAGGATCTTGTGGATGTATTGAGTGGTAGTTTGACTTTTAGATGCGGTAATCGCCACCCTAATGAAAGTTGTTGCTCTGCGACTGGTCTTCAGCGCTGCCTCGGCTAACAGTGGAGAGTGAAGTGGTTGAGTGTGTCGACCACTTCACTTGCCTAAGAAGTCGGATTCACCCTGACGGGTTACTGACCGACGAAATTTCTGCACAGATACAAAAGGCTTGATTAACTTTCACTAAGTTACGCCATCTTTGGTGCCGCTGTGATACCTCATTGTCTATCAAGAGTCGAGTGTACTACGTTGCAGTTTGCTTGGTTCTACTCTATGGTTGTGAAACACAGGAAATAAAGGTAGAGGAAATGAGAAAGCTCCAGGTCTTTGACTACCATTGTCTTCGTAGCACTAACCGTGTGTCGTGATGTCACCATATGAGTAATGCAGAAGTCAGGTGTAGACTTTTGAGAAAGGAGAAGAAAGTTGGTTAATTAGCTTGTGAACCTTTACTGACTGAGATGGATGGGACATGTGTTTTTACTCATGCATAGTCACCATCTGCTTCGTCGCTCTATGTTAACTGCGGTAGGTTCAGGCTGGAAAAACGCTTAGGGCGGACACACTCAAAAGTAGCATCAGTGCACGAAGTAGCTAACTGTTGGTCTGAGCCATGTTGGGAGATGCAGACTAGCCCCATATGGTCCACACGACAACAGAAACCAGTGGTTGAGGACTCGATGATATGACAGAATCTCTCTCTTTCTCTTCAGGACTTTCGGTCACTTTTGTTTGCTTTCTTTCTCATTTCTTTCATTTCGGAGCCTTCTGCTTCAATGTACTGGT